TTTTTTTTTTTTGGTACCAGAGATTGAACTCAGGACCTTGCACTTGCCAGGCAAGCACTTACTCTACTGAGCTATCTCCCTGGCCCTACATCTCCAACTTTAATGTGCCCACATATTGTCTGGGGATCTTCCTAAATACAGATCCTGAGGGCTTGGGTGTAGCTCCTTGCTAGTGGGATTGTTCAGTGTGTAGGGGTCCCTGCGACTGACCCCAGTACTGCAGGAAGAAAAGTGCAGCTCCTGACTAGTAGGCCTGAAATGCTGCATTTCTCATCAGCTCTGCCTCCTGAGGGCCCAAGGACTGCATGGGGACTACGGAGCTTGGTGAAATGGGGAAGACCTGACTGCACAAAAACAAGTCACAGCAAGTCCAGTGACTTCTGTTGTAGAAAAGGAGTGATAGAAAAAAAGAAGTGTGGGGCTGGTAAGATTGCTCAGTGGTCTAAAGCACAAGCTTAACAAAGCAGAGGGACCGCGGTTCAATCCCCCAGCACCACATGTCAGCCAGCCCTGCCTCCTGGTGGGCTGAGCTGGCCACACACACACACACACACACACACACACACACACACATAAATAAATTAAAAAGAAAAAAAGAAGTGTGTGAACCCCAGTATCATTAAGGGGAAAAGATTGGCAGCCCTTATGGTCAACCCGTTATTACGTGTCAATTTCCAGTGAATTCTTTTCCTTTTCTATCACATCCCGGGGCTTGCCGGTTAACTCAGTTGTCTAAAGCACTGCTTGGAAACACCCAGTCAGCAGCAGGGACCCGCGGTTGGATCCCCAGCTCCGCAAGCCGCACCATACCCGCCCTTAAGACAGCCTGAACTAGGGGGGAAAAATCCTTCTATCACATGGGCTAACTCAGTCCTTCTAATGGCACTCGTTAAAGGGTGGTGCCCGGGAACTTGCCGGACTCCCTCTCTGTCTTTCTGTTCATATCAGGTTGGTGTCACACCGGCCACCCAGGAGCCCTACAGCTTTCCTCTGATGTGCGCTCCAGGACCAGCATGCTTGGCTGCCAGCCCTGTGGCCTGACATCAGGGCCGGGTGCATCAGGTACTGGGGCTGTAGCTCCGTGGCAGAACATTGCCTTGCATGTGCGAAACCCTGAGTTTAATCTTCAGCACCACCAAAAAGTAAAATTAAAATATAAATTAAAATTTAAAGTAGGGGCCTGGGAGATGATGGCTCAGTAGGATAAGCGCTTCACTGGCAAACTCAAAGATCTGAGTTCAATCCCCGGTTCCGCAAAAAAAAAAAAAAAATTAAAGTATATGAAGACCGAGGAGATGGCTCATCAGAATAAGTGCTTCCCTGGCAAGCACAAGGGCCTGAGTTCAATCCCCGGTTCCGGTTCTGCAAAAAAATAAATAAATAAAAACATTAAGGAACATGTACTAAAAATAGTAATGGGCTGGGGATATAGCTCAGGGATAGAACACTTGCCTAGCACGGGGAATAAAAGAAAGAAAATTAAATATGATTATGACAGAACCAGTCAGTGAATGAAGACCTGTGAACCAGGCCCTGTTCCAAACGGCGACGCCAAAAAATAAAACGGCGACGCCAAGCACGCAGACCTGCAAGGGAACCCCGCGCGCGTCAGCGACGCCCAGCGCGCCCCAGGCTCGCGCTCCGGGATCGCAGAGAGCGCGGCGGCGGCGGTGGCGAAAGTGCGGCTGCGGACGCGCCGCGAGGCCGGCGGAGCCGGCGGGGCAGGAAGCTGGGGCGCGCCCGGGCTGCTGGGCGCCATGGGCCGCTTGCACTGCGCGCTGGACCCGGTGCCCGAGACCGTGGGCGGCGACATGCAGCAGCTGAACCAGCTGGGCACGCAGGTGGGCCAGGGTGGGCGTGAGCGCTGGGGAGGGGCTGGAGCGGGGTGTCGGGGCTGCGAACCCCGGGGCGTTCGGGGAGTGTGAGCCGGGCGGGAGGGCTGCGGGCAGTGGGCTCTGTGGAGAGTTTCGGAGGTCTCTGGGGATTGTTCGGACCCAGGGGATGGGACTAGGGACTTCTGGGGAATCCTGAGAGGAGGAAAGTTGTAGGGTCCTAAAAGAGGGCCTGAGAGGAGGCCGTGGTGAGGCTGCGATGTGGGGAAGAGAGTAACGGCGGGGTGAGCTTGGGGGAGCGACGGAGTCCAGACAAGTCTGCCTGTGACCAAGGAGAGACTGTGCCAAGCAGCCCTGGGCCCGGGGAAGCCTGGCAGAAGCAGGAAATCTGGAGCTCTGATGAGTGTCAGTGATAGCCAGGTCCCTCTTGGGGTTCCAGGCCACCCTGGAAGGCTTAGGGCTCGGCTGGGCCTACCTCTCCCCGCTTGACAGCACCCTGGAAGACCCCAGGCAAAGAAATCGCCATCAAAGTGGAGAACTGGCACAGCTTCCCTTCCCCCAGCCCCCTTGGTCTTTTTGAAATAGGGTTTCACTGTGAAGTTCAGGCTGGCCTTGAACTCACTATGTAGCCCAGGCTAGTCTCAAACTCAGGGATTGGGGGTGTGGGGTCTTCGTGCCTTAGCCTCCCAAGTGCAGGGATTACAGGAGTATGACTCCATGACCGGCTCCTTTTTTTTTTTTAATTGATGACAGGTCTCCCTATGTAGTTTAGGTTAAGCCTTGAACTCACTATGTAGCAGATTGGCTTTGAATTTGCTTCAATTCTCCTGCCTCACTCTCTCAATTGCTGGGATTAGGATTATATGTGTGCCACTATCCTTGGTTAAGGGATGCCCTTTTTGTGTCATCCACACAGTGGCTTCTCAAACACCACTGTCTTGTTTCTCACTGTATTACAGCTTGCCAGGAGATGGGAACCCTTTCTTTTTGTCTCAGTATCCCCCACAACTTTTCACACATCCAGTCAGGCCTGGTGGAGGAATAAAAAAAGATATTTTTCATAAAGTAATAGTAAGTAGAATTGGGGGCCGGGGAGATGGCTTTGGAATAAGTGCTTCCCTGGAAAGCGCAAGGGCCTGAGTTCAATCCCTGTCCCAAAAAAAAAAAAAAAAAAAAGTAAGTAGGATTATAATGCCAAGCATGATCTAAACCTGCTTTGTCTAATGAAAGTAAGTTGTAGCCTTGTGCAGTGGCAAATACATGTAATCTGAACACTTTTGGAGGCAGAGGCAGGAGTCTGTGGCTAACTTGGGGAAATTACTGAGACACTTCTCCAAAACAAGAAAATAAAAAGAGATGGGTAGGGATGGACCTCATTGCCCTAAGGATTCAATCCCCAGTACTAAACGAAAGAAAAATAAGAGAAAATAAAAATTGCAAAGCCGGGGATGGTATAATTCTTTTTTTTTTTTTTTTTTTTTTGTGAGACCGGGGATTGAACTCAGGACCCTGTGCTTGCCAGGCAAGCACTTATTCTACTGAGCTATCTCTTCAGCCTTACAATTCTTTATTGTTGTTGTTGTTATTGTTGTTGTTGTTATTATTATTATTATTATTGGTACTGGGGATCAAACTCAGAACTTTATACTTGCCAGACAGGCACCATGCCACTGAGCTATATCCCTGGCTCCAGTGGTATAAACCGCCCTGACTGTATTAGCATGCGCAGGTGCTTCAACAACCGGCAGGCCCCCATACCTATGTAGTTTTTTGGGGTTTTTTTTGGCAGAACCAGGGATTGAACTCAGACCCTTGGGATTGAACTCAGGCCCTTGGGCTTGCCAGGCAGGCGCTTATTCTACTAAGCATCACCCCGGCCCCTCTTGCTTGTCTTTTCTTTAAAATTTTATTTATTTATTTGTGTGTGTGTATCTGTGTGTGTGTGTCTGTGTGTGGCCAGCTCAGCCC